CTGCAATCAGTCGCCCTATGCCCCTGTTCACCACACCTAAAGCACTTAATACTTGAGCTGGAACTATCCCGCTGTGGCTGATAAGCAGGACGAGATTCTTGAGGGCGAACTGGCTGACTTCCTTCACCTCTGACCACTGGCCTCCTACTTTGCTGTTTCTCTACTGCAAGTGCTCGCTGATATGCCTCGGAAACTGTCCACAATGAATGAAGGCTAAGAACATCCTGCCGGGGCTGCCTTAATCCCCCCAAATATCATGCTACCATCTGTTCCTCCGTTTCAGATAAATCATTCCGAGCCACCAACTGATAGAATTCTTCAGTATAATCATTGACTGATCTTGCGCCTTACCTTAGTGAATGGAGCCTCTGAAACAAGGTTTGAGTATAGCCGAAAGGGAGGAAGTGCCCTCTCATCTTCTTCTTCATCTTCTCCCAGTTAGTAATTTTGGATTTCCCCTGTCGCTCCCGTGAGCGCTTCAACTGTTCCCACCATACAGATGCCCTACCTTTGAGTTTGATGGCGACTAGTTTCACTTTAACACGATCTGGAACCTCCTTATATTCAAAAATTTGCTCCACTTCATTCAACCAATCAATAAATCCTTCAGCCTGCAACGTACCAGAAAACTCGGGCAGATCCACTCTGAAATCGAGATCTACATGACGATCCTCCCGTCCACGATGCTCCCAAACTCGAGCACGATGGTGATACGGGTTTTCGAAACTGGTATCGGAATCGTGACCTTCCACATCATGATTACCGAACTCCTGTTCCGCCAAACGTTGGGTTAACTCCGCAACTTGTCTCTGCAAATCTTCAATCGTCACATCCTGAATATTACTATCACGGTGCGGGACTTCCTCAATCGGAACCTGTCCTCGACGACCACGACCACGTCCACCAACCATTATAACTGATGGAATTTATCTCCCAAGAAGATGCTGACGCTCTGATACCAACTGACGCGTCAAAATCTCCCAATTAAGGAAATAATGGTGATTTACTTTCCATCTTTGCGCCGATCCGCCATCTCATGGTATCTCAGCGCCATCATCGTGCAATCTAACAAATCAGCATCACTTGACTCGGATCCTCTTGCATCACAAGTGGACCTCACTTTTCTCCTAACAGTTAAAAAATCAATTCTCAAAATCACTCCCAAACAGGCTCATAATCCTGTAAAGAAGCTGCACCAAACATACGCTTAAAATGTTGTTAGCTGTAGACATGGTTAAACAAACTGGGCACGTGACGACTATGTCAATAAAAGATTGGGGATCCTTGGAGAATTTTAGCCTTATATTAAAGAACCCGTGCTTCAATGCCTTTTGTCGAAAAGTAAGTTAGAACATTTCCAATAAACTTTTTAAACATTAGATTCTTTCTATTTTAAAAAGCAAACCCTTAAAACTGTGCTCCAAAATATTCTTTCCCAAACTCATCCTATATAATTAAATGGACTCAAACTGTTTCATTTGTCAATAAAAAAAAGGTATAATAATTTGGAGAGAACCTATTGAAAATAAAAAAATAGAGAAAAAATAATAAATACCTTTTGGGAATAGTACAATTAAGTTATAAAAATAAAAAGACTGTTAGAGCACTTAAAATTTTTTGCCTCTAAATTTATAGACGCTCTTTAAAATGTTAAATATACTCTTTAAAAATAGAAATTTTATTCACGATGCTATTATATATCAATCTTGGCCTAAAATTTGTAGCCAATTACAGCACGCCACGTAAAGCCTGTAGTATTGACGTAAACCAAGTCATTACGTGATTATGCGGTGATGACGTTAGTTATTTAAGCGGCCACGCGAGTCCGTTTTCGTCAAGCAATAGTTATCTTCCCCATAACTTCCATTTTGCCTTTCCTCTGGAATTCTTCTCAAGGTTAGAATATTAAACAAACTTTATGATTTTTTATTCACTTTATTAATTAGTTTCTTTATTATTAATTTTTTTTTTTTGGTATTTTTTCCTGAATTTATGATAGATTGCTTTTGATTGGTCTCGTGTTCACATATTTTCCTGAGATCATTTAATTGTGGGACATTGTAGAATTTTCTTCTGTTTGTTCTTTGTAGTGATGGGTCTATGATCAAATAATAAATATCTGTAAAATGATGATATTTGCAAAATTATAGAACTTGATTGTGGGAGATTATAGAATTTTCTTCAGTTTGACGCGAACCTGCAAAATTAGATGAAGTGCTGATTTATTTGCAAAGATCAAACTAATTTCTGGTAATTGTTGCATAACCAAAATTTTACGTGCCACTGGATCATGATGTACTTATGGGGAATGCGTGTTTTTTATCGATAAAGATGCGTGTCATTTAGATGTATAGATGGCACGTTGGTATAGAGCATCACTGCACATGGGTTGGAGACGATTAGTGCTTGGGGTGGATTCCCGGGCCTCATTCTCGGTGATAAGGGGCTAGTTTCCGCCTTCCCATTAGCTATAGCTTTTGAGAAAACTGGTAGTTTCCAAGAATACATCATTTTGCAAGCGATTATTCAGTTATGTCAATCATGAAAATCATTTAGCTTTCAACTAGTCCTAAAAAATCAGATTTTTAAATCCTCTCGATTTATTAAGTCTTGTTAATTGTCGTTTATTTGGCATGGACTGCACCCCAAGGAATGAACAAATGGAAATTCTGGCAAAATATTAATCATTATGTAAAAATCGAGACACGCCTTTTCTTTTGTTATGTAGAGCATCATATTTTTATAGCATCAATACTTTACCCAGTGTTTCTTGTTTTTGATATCATATTTTATGTCCATATTGGACGATGCATTTTTATGCCAAAGCTGACTACTCTTTTGCACTTACAGCCTCGATTGTCTGCTCTTCATGAATCCGAGAAGCACTGCTACATCTACTGTTTCCTTTAAAGCAGGGAACAAGGACAAGTTCCGTTTCTGGATTTTACATTACCTTTCCCCGGTATCTTTCGGAACGTCTGTTGGAATTGAGAACTTCCTTCTGTTCAAGGCTATTGCATGTTCTTCTTCTTCACTAGTCCTGATCTAAAAGTCTTTGTGGGAAATTATTTTATCATTGCTTGGAGTTAGAAGTCGATCTGCTTCCTGTGTTTCATCTTTAGCATCATGGTTACCTCTCAATTTCCGAACTTGACTGGTGACAATTTGTTGAAGCCTTTCCCAAGTCATGTTCCCCTCTCAGTGGAAGTCGCTGATGCCTTCTCGTTGGATCATGTTGATTTGGACTTTTCTGACCTTTTTGGTCCAGCACCAACTCGTGCAACTTTACCTTTGATATCTGAAGATTCTGCGAATTTTATTATCCAATCTGAAGTTAAAGAATTAAATTATGATGAACCAGCTGTAATTCATAGTTGTTCCCATTCCTATGTGGGTCCCACATCTTGTTTAAGTAATATATCGAAGCTCAACAAGCTCACATTGCATGAGAGAGGATATCTATTTGAATTTGTGGACGAAGTAGATGGAGAGGCTCAAGAGAAAATTCCTGAAGCTGTTATTGAGACAATTGTTCCGAAGAAGTTTACTCTTGAAGCTGATGGCAATTCAGAGAAGACAGTACGGCTTGAGGACTTTGAATTTTTGAAAGTTGTTGGGCAAGGTGCATTCGGAAAAGTGTACCAGGTGAGGAAGATTGGTTCGTCAGAAATATTCGCAATGAAGGTTATGCGCAAAGATAAAATTATAAAGAAAAACCATGCTGAGTACATGAAAACTGAGAGGGATATATTGACAAAAATAGATCATCCCTTCATCGTGAAGCTAAGATATTCCTTTCAGGTATTCATTTTTCGAAGTGTTAATATGCATCCTTTTTGCTCTTATTGAGTTCACAGTCCAAATTTGTGGCTGTGGCAATCCTTAATTTTGGATTATAAGATTGGAAACTATGAAATTGTCCATTTCAGTTTGACATATTTTGAATTTGCTAATTTTTTTAGTAATTTCTTTGGGCCAGACTAAATACAGGTTATACCTTGTGCTTGACTTCATCAATGGGGGTCACCTTTTCTTTCAACTCTACCGTCAAGGCCTATTCAGGTATTTATGATGTTTGTGCTGATAAGAATGTTCACTTTACATTGAGGAATTTTAACACGTGGTATTTATTTTCAGAGAGGATTTGGCACGTATATATGCTGCCGAGATTGTTTCTGCTGTTTCTCACCTCCATGCAAAAGGCATAATGCACAGGGATCTGAAACCTGAAAATATTATTCTTGACGCAGAGGGGCATGTAAGAAATCTTCCACTTTTTTCTTGCCATGAATGGCTTTTTCTGCAGAGAATTATGTTGTTATAGGCTTATAGCTTTCGGTTTGTTTTAACTGCATAATCTGTATCTCGTTAAATTCAAAGAATAAGATGTGTGGTATATCTAGGCTTTATTTTGTAAGGTTTTTTCTTCTTTTATCTCTTGCAGGCTATGCTAACTGATTTTGGGCTTGCAAAACAATTTGATGAGAACACAAGATCTAATTCCTTGTGCGGAACAGTTGAGTATATGGCACCCGAAATCATTCGCTGTGGAGGTCATGATAAGGCCGCAGACTGGTGGAGTGTGGGAATTCTTCTGTATGAAATGTTGACAGGGAAGGTTAGTTCTCTGCCTCGTTCCCTACTTTGCAACGATACTTATTTCTGTTAAAATGCTCCTTTACGTGGACGATGTAGCCATGTTGGTTGCTTTGTTTAATTATAATTTCTCTAAATTGTTAATTTCGTTGTTCTAGGCACGAATTATTTCCTGTCATCTTATTATGAATTCTTATAGGGTGATTGTTATTTTTGATCGTCTGTTGAATTTATTATTCAGAAAAAAATCGTTGTACACATTAATTACTTCATAAAACAATGGTTACAACTTACAACCAAATTTAGGATTGATGGCTCTCATGACCTCAACAATATTCTCAAAAGAATTGAGAAAATTTCAGCCAGGGAATACAAGAGAAAAAAATAGTCGAATTTTGTTAATGGGATTGGATAGTTTATGAAGTGTGAAAGAAATACGAAACGATGCCTTGGTTACCTTTTCCTGGCACAATACGGTTACGCACGATGACTAAATTTTTAAAACTCTCCATGACTTCTCACAGCTATTCTTAATTAAATATGTATTTTGTTGTTTATAATATTTTGTCCTATATTATTTTAGCCGCCATTCGTCGGTGGGAATCGTCACAAAATTCAGCAGAAGATACTCAACGACAAAATCAAATTGCCAGCATTTTTGTCAAGTGAGGCTCATTCTCTACTGAAAGGGGTAAGAGTTCTTCTGTGTCTGTTTTCTACTGATGATGATGATATAGATAGCATTGTATTCTATTCAATTGCACATTTGTTCCAGATCCAAATGAATAAATATGATCTGGATTGAGCCAGGCGGTTGTAAGTAACTTGACAAGGAACCTTTCAGATTATGATTTTCGGTTTGAGGTTTTATATACAAAACACACAAAAACAGCATGGCTTATCTTCGTTTATAATACTCATTTTCCATTCAATGTCTACTTCAGTTGCTTCAGAAGGAGGCGAACATGCGCCTTGGGAATGGACTAAGAGGCAGTGATGAGATAAAAGGCCACAAGTGGTTCAAGTCAATCAGCTGGAAGAAATTGGAGGCTCGGGAAATTCAACCAAGCTTCCTTCCACTAGTAGCAGGAAAACACTGCATCGCCAATTTTGATGAGCGTTGGACCAACATGCCACTTCTAGATTCTCCGGCTGCTAGTCCAAAATGTGGAGAAAACCCCTTTAGGGGGTTTAGTTATGTGAAGCTGCAGCCTAGTACTACAGATCTTTGAAATGATTTTTAGAGCTTGTTTTTAGCAACATTTGAGGTCGTGGAAATGAAGATCACACCGCCATGGTTTCGCCAGAAGCGACTCTCATCATAGAAACACCCCCATGTTGATGTAGTTATTTTGTTGTTATACGTTAGAAGGTTTTTGAATAGTGACATTAATTTTGAGGTATTAAACACCTTGTAATTTAAGACAAATTGAAAGCGGAGACTACCGTTTTAGCTTTATGTATAAATAAAATAGTATTCTTGAATACCTTTCACTTTTTCCTTCTTTTCTATATTTTATTATTTTGCACGTTGACTATTGAAATGGTTTTTAGGACGAAAAACCATTACTAGCGAGGGGACTTAAATGCGCTTAAAAGTAGATGGGGATTTTAGTGCAGAAGTATTCAAAATTGCACTTTTTATAGTAAGATTTCAATATCATCCTTCACGAAGTTTCACTTATCGCGTTCCTCATGCTATGAACTTACTGCGCAAATTACTTCAAAAAGAAGGCAGTGCTCATCTTATACAATTCACTTTCAATTTGATGGCGTCTTTTGAATTATTTTTCCACCTAGACTACTCAAAAAATTACTACCATAAAGGTCATCTTTGCAAATTGCAAGCAAATTTTCCTTTATGTTGGCATGTTGTATTATATGTTTTGATTGTAGTGTTTATGTTATCATATACTAGGTTGGTTTGGGTTACAGTTTACCCAAATCGACTTGGTGTTTTTCAATTTTGAGTTGGGCCCAAAACCAATCCATGACCATCCTTACCGGCAAATTCAACTGGCAACTCTGTCTACGCTGCAATAATTTTGTGGCACCGCACCTTGTTGGTGTTAATGTAATAAGGTATTTAGTTTAAGGGTAGATTTGTCTTTTATTATTTGTACTATATAAACTCTTGTATCCCACATCTTTTACATAAGTTTGGAGGCAGTAAGAACGGTTCCTTCTTCCTCTCCATTCTTCATCAGTTTGTTCTTCTTCTCTTTTGTTCCTTTATCATATTGGTTTGTTGTTTTCTACGTGGTATCAAAGTGGGTATAATTTTGGGTTAAACTTTTGAGCCTCAGATCTCTGGCAAGCGGCCTCGTGCTGCTAGTTTGGCGGTCAAAATCTGTTTGTTTCCGACGCTCAAAATTTGTTCGTTCTCTGTGGTTAAAAAGAATTGGCTGAATGATTTGTTTGTTTTGGTAGAGTTTGGGATCTAGTGATATTTTGCCGTTGAGGGTCATTTTGGAAATCAGTTTGGTTTGCTAATGTTGAGGTGAGTGGTGTGGTGGCCGACCATGGTAAAACCCGACGTTTGATGGCAGTCTTTCGAAGTACGCTTGGTGCGGTGAGAGCAATGACTAGAAACTGAAGGAACTGGAGAAGATGCTCTTGTTGGAGAAAATTCATCGAATTGGAGTAGAGATCACGAAATATGAAATCGAAAACGTCAATAACAAGATAATCACGAATTTGTGTCAATGAATGGCTTGAACACGATATCGTTGTTCTCAAACGATATTTGCCCCTTCTCCTATGAATTTGAGATGCTTCAAAGGTTGTTGGCAAATGGTTTGTAGGATTATAACAAGTCTTGCAAGGATTTAAATACCAAAACACAAGTGCAAATCCTAGAAAATTTAAAGAACACAAAGAATGAATATGAATATGGCTTTTAAAGACTTTGATATTTGATTTTGAAAGTAATATGGAACCTTGATATTTTGTAATAATTTTGCCTTCAATATGGATCCACTTATTTATAGGCATAAGCCATATGTACGAAATGGTGCCAAAATATAACCCAAAAGTCATCAAAATTGAACTTACAACGGCCAAAAACGACCTCAAACGGTCGGATTTTTTGTACCATGCGTCCATGCGGTCGCATGGTTAAACTCAAACCCGGCCTCTAAGTTTCGGTAGGTCCTTGTGCGACCGCAATGTTATATGCCTCTGCAGTCGCACAGGCCACACTCGTGGCCACCATTTTCAATTTCATTCCAACTTCTACTTCCATTGATTTATTGATGTTGAACAACAATTCTCAACAATTCCCCACTTGTTCAATATTCAATAAAATTTCATATTCAAAGAATACGAAACTCATGCCCAAGGATTAGATATCTTTCGATTTGAATCTAGTCATAGTGTAATTCCTACAAAGTAAAGCCGGAATCAAAGGTAGCGTGTAGCTTTGAACCAATTATTCCATATGACAATACTGGTAAGAACACACACACGAGTACCACGTGTTCTCAAGTTCCTCATAACTCGCTTAGCGCTTTTATGACCTTGCGCTTATCATTTTCAACAATCTTTTAAGAGAGAAACTCCAACTCTCTATTAAGGCGGCACCACCTTGAAGATTGATTAGGTGAAGTTCTTCCAGTACCTTTGTTACCTTTAGAGGTACTTGTATTTTAGTACTGAATTTCATTAAGAGCTTATAGCTCATCCCTCATTTCAGTAACAACCAGCATTAATTTAATTAGGATAGAATTTTTGCGAATTTTTTAATAATGCTGCAACTATTCACATATCGAATGACTTGTTGTTACCTTTTGAACCCGTAAATTACTTTTTGAGTAATGACAGTAGGGTTGCTGTCATTGGTGAACCTTTTTAATTTAGGAGTTTCAACCCCATCCTACTCGAAGTAGATTCTACTAAATCTCTATTTAGAGGTTTAGTTAAAGGATTCGCCAAATTCTCAATTGACCTTATATAATTTAGGGAAATTATTCCATCATTGATTAACTTCCTTATATAGTCATGTCTAAGACTTATATGTCTAGACTTTCCATTGTATACCTCATTGTATGTTTTTGCTAATGTGGCTTGACTATCACACATAATAGGTATTGAAGAAATATTCTTCAATCCCAAAGGTATCTCATAAAAGAGATCCTTAAACCACTCAGCCTCTTTCCCGGTATCCGATAGGGCTACAAATTCAGTTTCCATGGTCGAGTGTGTTATGTATGTTTGTTTTTCTGATTTTCAAGAAACAACACCTCCTTCTAGAGTGAACATCCAACCCGAGGTGGATTTACTTTCACCCGTGCTAAATATCCAACTAGTATCGATAAATCCTTCCAATATTGTCGGGAATTTAGTATACTGCAGGCCTAAGTTTTTCATTTTCTTTAAGTATCCAAGAACTCTCCCAATAGCCCTTAAATGATTTTTACTCGGATTGCTAGTAAACCTGCTAAATTTACTTATGGCATAAGCTATGTCCGGTCTTGTGCATTGAACTGCATACATAAGACTTCTTATAGCACTAGCATATTCCAATTGAGCAATCGCCTTTCCATCTTTACAAGTTTTGAACTTGGATCAATTGTGATACTATATTCATTCATGTTCAAGTGTTTGAACTTGTTTATCACATTCTCAATATAATGTGATTGACTTAGGTAATAACCCCCACTAGTCTTTGTGACTTTTATACCTAAAATGGTATCCACTTGACCAAGATCCTTCATCTTGAATGTGGAAGATAGAAACCTCTTTATTTCTTCTATACCATTCACGTGATTACTCATAATTAACATGTCATCAATATATAAACATATAAATGTCACATAATCATGATACATTTTAGAATATAAACATCTATCTACGCTATTATGTTTAAATTCGAATGATGTTATAGCTAAGTCAAATTTCTCATGCCATTTCTCAAGTGCCTGCTTCAAACCATATAAAGAATTTATTTTCTTGCATACTTTATGTTTATTTCCAGGTAGAATGAACCCTTCGGGTCGCTCCATATAGACCTCCTTATCGAGATCCCCATTTAAGAATACCGTCTTAACATCCATTTGATGAACATGCAAGTCATATATTGAAGTCAATGTGAATAATATCATAATCGATGTTATTCTGCCTACCGGTGCATAAGTGTCAAAATAGTCGATTTCTTCCTTTTGTCGATATCCTTTTGATACTAATCTAGCTTTGAAAGTATTTAGAGAGCTATCAACATTATATTTCTTCCTAAATACCTATTTACATCCAATAGGTTTGGATCCTGGTGGAAGATCGACAAGTTCCCAAGTTTTATTAGACGTTATCGAATCCATTTCATATTTAATTGCATCTTTCCAAAAAATGCTATCACGAGAAGCCATAGCTTCTTTATATGTTTTAGGGTCGGTTTATACTTGTAGAACAAAAGGAATTGTTCTCACAACATTCAACTCATTTCCTTCTACTGAGTAAAAGGAGATAAAATGAGAATCAATTTCATCCGGTCCCAAAGACTTCTCAACTCGAGTTCTCTTGCTTTTTCGTGGTTCACTAGACTCATCAACATCTTTAGAAGACATTTCATCATAAATTCCCCTTGAGTTAGGGATATTTTCAATATTTTCCTTTAATTCATTATCCAATGATAACAAATTTTCAAAGAACTCTACATCACTTGATTTGATAATCACATTGGTCTCCAAGTTAAGCAATCTATAAGATTTGTTATTATTAACATATCCAACAAAAGCACATTTAATACCTCTTGGACCTAATTTGGTCCTATTAGGATTTGTGTTTTTGCAATAAGCAAGACACTCCCACACTTTGAAGTATCCATTGTTCGGTTTTCTTCCTTTCCACAATTTTATAGGGGAAAACCTTTGTATGTTTAGAAGGAATTCTATTAAGTATCCTACATGCACTTAATAAAGCTTCACCCCATAAATTAAATGGTAACTTAACATCTTTAAGCATGACATTAATCATTTCTACTAAGGTTTTATTATTTCTTTCAGCCAAACCGTTTTGTTTGGGTGTCCTAGGTGCAGAACATTGGTGAATTATGCCATGTTGTTCACAATATAAATTAAATTCACTAGAGAAGTATTCACCACCTCTATCATTCCTTAAGATCTTTATTTTCTTATTTAAGTGATTTTCAACTTCAATTTTATAAGTTTTAAACAAATCAAATGCCTCATATTTATGTTTCATTAAATAAACATAGGTATATCTTGAGTAATCATCAATAAATGTTATGAAATATCTATTTCCATCTCTTGTTAGCATGTCATTCAATTCACATATATTGGAATGAATTAATTCTAATGTACTAGAAGTCCTCTTAACGCTTTGATAAGGATTTTAAACCATTTTTGCTTCTACACATGTTTTGCATTTAATGACATCATTTTCATCATATGAAATTAAGTCAAAATTTCTCATGCATTTCATGGTACTTTTACTTATGTGACCTAATCTAGCATGCCATAAAAAAAATAAA